GTGTGTGTGAGAGAGAGAGAGAGAGAGAGAGAGACTTACTGTTAATTTTATAATTCGTATCCAATGTCTATGAATGTGAATTAGAGCCAAACATTAGCCGTAATTTTATTGTATTCGTTGTATGTCTGGCCTCCCAGTGCTTATTGACTCAATAAGTTATTGAGTGGCGAGAAGAGAGTGTAAAAACTTTAAAATAACCTTTATAGTTTAGTACAGGTATAATAATTGGTTGCGGATCACTAATTTTTATGACTACCCATTTCCAAGCAAAATAAAATAAGTTTTGTTTGTTTTTACTCAATACTAGAGACTTTCGGATGCTTTTTATTGAAGTGTTGTTTCATTTTGATGCTTTAAAAAATTTTAAATTTAGAGTTTTTGTTGTAGTTTTATACAAAATATTGCTTTTTACCCCTCAATAGTGAACCCATTCTTTGTATAATTTATATGACGTGCAAGTCTTGTGCCATTAATTTGAGTTTTATCTTATTATTTAGTTTTTAAAATACTTATTGTTTTTATATGCACATTATACTAATATTTGTTTTATTGCCAACAATATAAATATATATATATATATATATAGCAATACTGTATAACAATTTAATGTCTACTTTCAGGGAGTACTCAGGAGTGACAGAATCTGTTGACAGATAGAGATTCCTTATACTACTGCCGACACCACATGCCAGCCCTGCGCGACAGTCAACCCAACGGGAAGTTCACGAATTGTGTGAATGAGTGAGCGCTTAGAATAATGCAATTCTGTGCGGTACTCACCGATCAACACTTGCACCGAATGCCAGTGTCCACAGCACCGGCACCTCATACACCGGTGCCCACCGAACGCACCACTGTTAAGGGTCACGATAGCATACATACCAAGGCTATTACACCGGCGCCGATGGCTGGTAATAATGGCAACTCAAATGCCGTCACCAATCATAAGTTATTGATAAATAGTACCGGTGCTCAAGAGCTCCGACAGGCGGCCAGCGCTGGGAATGTAGCGCTTGTGAAGGAATTGTGCAAAAAGTCTGTTCCCTTCGACGCTGACATTGTACGTGAAGTTATGACCATTTTTGTGTTTATTCATTTTGACAAATACCTTCATAATTAGTAGTATTGTATAGAAATTTATGTATAGTTATGATTACAGTATACATGTATGTAACTAGTATTATTAAATTAACACATAGACAATTAACTTAGTTATTACGATAACTTATATTCATGTAATTAGTGTTTAATGTATAGTATTTGTCTTATTTATGACCAAATGCTGTCTTGACGGGCGCCGACACATAGGAGGGCCGAACAGCACTACATTACGCGTCAGCCAATGGTCACAGCCTTGTCGTCAACCAATTGATTGAATCGGGGTTTGCGGTCAACGCCAAGGATGCCGTGAGTATTGTCTTTGCCTTTTCACACAATATTATCATTACTTTTATTACTTTTATTATTGTTATTTATTTTGATCAAAATATTATCGTTTGACTCATGTTTTTGTGAGCAAAATCGACAGATGAGATAAACTTTACATATTGTCTAATGAGTGTTTTTTTTGTATTTTACAAATCTTAAGCTAAAAGTCAATAATCATCGATTTAATTTTTTTTAATAAATAGTCTAAAAGCTATTTAAAACTTATAATAATATGTTAACTGTAAGGAATGAATGAAAATATTTACTTATTATTTAAACAATATATTTGTGACAATATGTCGCATAATGAAGTTGAAAAAATATACAGGTTTTATAACTTTTCTAGTATAAGTTACTAAAGCTAAATAAAGTTGGAGGTAATGAAATTAATTTAGTGAAATTAATTAAAATAATATTTTCTAATTTACAATACATGTACTACCAAGTAAGCAATATTATATTAAGTTGCACATAATACGTTTTTAATAAACTAGTACATTAAAATATCAATAATCCTATGAAATACATTATGTTATTATGTACAGTACAGTAATATATTTTATATTAAAATTCTATGGACACAAGAAAGTAATGGAGAGTTTGATATGCAAACCTATTGGTGTTATATTTGAATACGATAAATTTAAATTTGAAATTAGTTTCAACAAAATACCACTCGTTTTGACGTGTCTTACGCTTAGCGCTTATATTCGGCTGTTATTATGATTACAATAATATTATAGTTGTTTAGCCTTTTATGTTGAGTACGTGCTGTTTAGCGCCAGGTTCTTGAACCGTAGTCTAAGGGGTTCTCAACATACCTGAGCTCTCAGAGAGCGAGAGTGTCAGTGCCTTATTTGAGGCCATTATCTGTTGTGCAGTTGTGTTATATTAAAGTAATGGAGAATTTTTTCCGACAAGTAATGAAAGTACATTTCGGAAGAATCTTAGATATATTTTTGGATAAACCTTTTTAAAAAAGTCTTTAGTCTAAATTTTAGATAATTTTTATTTCGCTTATTATACATTTCCTAACTTGAGGTGATTTTGTTTTTAAATTATTTATTTTTAGGATACTTAAATTTAAAGATATGCTTAGTTACAAATCAATGTTTATATTATAATAGACATAACATGGGTTATATAGTGTTCCCAACAACAACAAAATACTATGCTAAATGCTTAGGATTTTTAAAGTTGTTACCAAAAATCTGTTTATTTTATTTGAAATTTCCCAGGTATATTTTTTGCATGGAGTTAAACAAGGAGTTTGACTACTATTCTTGATAATCTGACCAAACTTTAGATTTTGGGAACCCTAGGTATATGTGCCATTGACACGACCCCTACAGTGTGTACCGATTTGTCTTAAAATCTTGAACAACAGTTCCGAAAGTAAGTCTCGAGGAGGAGATTAAACTAAATATTTTTAAACTTTTTTAAGTGAGACAAAAACAGCATAACATATGTCTGTCAGTCATAACACTATTTTAAGAAAACATAAAACTATTATTGTATTGACCCCTCAATGACCCCTCGATGACCCTCTAAGTTAGTCCATCTCATCCCAGAGATGCTAAAAATTTGGACACCACTAGAGAGACCGACACTCTATGATATATAAGGCTTAATTAAATATCAACTCTATTTTTAAAGCTAAAACACCTTCTTGTCTGACCGGTTATTATAAATCATCTATAAGTTGTAAATAATTTTGTTAATGTGTTAAAATAATGAGCTAAAACAAAGTTATTATTTGCAAAATATATCTATAATTACATTTATAAACTTTCTAAATATATTGATTAAATAGATTTTTAAATGATGCTGTCTTTTTGATGATTATAATATAAGTTGTCAAAATATATAAATTTATATTACGGTATATTCTTTTGTTTAAAAACCATGTTAAATTGCATAACGTATAGTAGAATATCACATGAGAGAGAGAGAGAGAGAGAGAGAGCAAGTGTTTGACAATTTGAGAGCTAATGGTATAATTTGTATGAATAGTTGGGATACACAGCATTACTACATGCGGCCACTGATGGACACGTAGATGTGGTCCAACTGTTGCTCAAGAATAAGGCCAACGTTGATGCACAGGACGATGTGGTGAGTACTACCTGTCCATTGCTATACAATATTCTATATTCTTATATTTTCCCATTTATTATTCGCAATATAAGCAATCATTAAATATATATTTTAATTTGTTTATTTTATAATAATTATTTAAATGTTATTTTTTAGAAAAAAGTTTTTAATTTGTCATGGATTTATTTTATAAAATGGAGTGAATTTTATTGAATTTGAATTAGAATTCTTGGTTAACCTTTTAATTTTAGTTTACAATACAACATTAACATTTTGTTATTTTGTTATAATTTATTCATTAGTGGTTTCATTTATTAAAGACAAATACTAATTTATAAATTATAATACAGACATTTTTTATTTTATAATTTTTTGTATCTTTCATGTATTTTATAATAACTCAAAAGTCATTGCAATATATCCTACATTTCATGTGTTTATAACAAATTATTTAAATCATAATAACATATTTTATTGAAAAACTAAATAATGTAAAATATGGCAAAATATTTAGTTCTAATCGTGATTTACAGCAGAGTCTGGCTAAAGATCCATGTGCTTCGCCCACCCATGATATGATCATCTCAGTGCACAGTATATAAAATATTTACTGTATTGTTTATGCCAAACCTGGTACTATTGTTTTTCGTAGTGAATGTCTCATATGATTTCATAACAATTATCCCAAATGTATATCTTTTTGCGATGAATAGACTTCTCTTATCTTCATTGCCTCCACACAAACACACCGTTCCTTCAGTTGAATCTCAAACTTATAATTCGAAATAAATTGCAAAACAATTATTCTCTCTCTCTCTCTCTCTCTCTCTCTCTCTCTCCCTCTCCCACTCTCTCGAGTTATTTGCGCCAATCGTTTAGTCGAAGCAAAAGACCGTTAAGACCATAGACTGGAGACTGAAAGCACTTTAATTACAAACTATAAGCAATTTTATGTCTCTTAAGGCTGTTGTTGAAGACATAATGTTTAGCGGAAAAAATCATTGAAACATACGATTAGAGAGAGAATTATTTATAGAAAAACTTTATAAAATACATCCTCTCAGTGAGATAGACCTGTCATTTATCACTGAATTACTTGTTTGCGACCATTTCCATAGGACAGGTACTCATTTAATTGTTCATAGAAAGGTTATGGGATATATTGGTAATAGAGTGAACAGTTAAACAGTATAGTAATACTGATATGTATTTCAAAGTAATGGTGTTTTTATTGTGGGTCTATGTGTGTGAGGAATGAAACAAAAAAATCACTTTTTGATACCGGTGCTGTGAAATGTGTGGCCGTTCAACTGTACTTATAAAGCAATTTCGCTGATTATATGCAAACATTTGGCGATACATTTCAATAACCATTAACTCAATGATCGGAATCACAATTAACTCAAATATTTATTACTGAGTGAGTGAGTGAGAGAGAGGAGAGAGAGAGAGTGAGAGAGAGAGAGAGAGAGAGATATTTTAGTTAAACGCTCTACTGATGCACCACAACGTATAATTCCTGTCACATACCGGCCCCCTCATAGTTTGTGTGACAAATAATTAACATGGAGTGCATCGGCAGACAGACTGCGACCGGTGCTGAAAATCACGACTTGTTTTGAAATACATGCCCACATCAGTACTCGTGACAGCAATTGAAACAAAATAATATAAAAAATTTTGTTTAGTTTCAAAGCCAAACATTTGGACACAATTGACAGACATATGAGACAATGCATTGATTGACTTATAGTAGTGTCGAGTCGTGTGGATATCCTGTGATTTTAAAACAAATGATTTGTTGAAATATTTTGCAAACAAAAACTATAGCTGTAAATGAAGTCATTTTGGGTTTTCCAGACGCATCTGCTATATGTTTGGCTTATTTTTCATGAATATATTTTTAAAATAGAAACCTCTCTCTCTCTCTCTCTCTCTCTCTCTCTCTCTCTCTCTCAAGTAAATATTGGGGTCAAAAGTGATTGAAACAAATATCATGAAACAAAGGGGCATGATATCAATATTATATAAAATTCACATAAATAGAAATACTGTACTGTATATAGAAACCAATTATTTGAGCTCTATTTCAAAAATGCTTTTCTGCTATAATTATTCATCAAATCATAATAATAGGGGAAAACTATAATAGCGATAAATTTATTTAATAGTTTGCGGCAATATTTATACTTAACTCAAATATAAAATCTAAATGCATTGCAAAAAAGCATGTGTTTTCAATTTGATTACTTTTGATTTGCCTGTATAAACAATTTAATAAACTTACAGTATTACTGTACAGAGTGAATTCTCGTTATAATCAATAGGTAAATAATTTTAAAAGAATGAGAATGTTACACTTAAAATATATACATTTATTGATTGTACTTTTTATCTACAATAAAACATTTATTAATTCATAGTTTAAATGGATATTATTTTTAATATTTCTATATATTAATACTCAAAAATATATGGGTATCTTTAATCAAACTTTTATTTTTTCATTTATTTTAATTAAACAAATGATAAAAAACATGTATAACAAGAGTCGTGAAATTTATTTGTTATAGCTGGTTATACATTTTATACACAATGTATACATTTAGTAATACTAATTTAGTAACTTATTCTTAATATTTAGTATGAACCATTATATTTAAAATATTTTATTTATTTGTTATAAATAGCATTATAACAGTGCACTACACGAGGCCTCGTGGAAGGGCTACAGTCAGACCATTGAGATTTTGTGCAAAAACAAAGCCAACCCTTACCTCAAGAATAAGGTAATTGTATTATTATATAGTCATGTTTCGTATAGTACTACATGAATGCATTATATAATATAAGTCATAAAATCTACTAAAACAAATTTTTATTGAGCTTGTCGTACATTATATGGACACACAAGTCATGTATATCGCAGTATATAATAGAGTCATAGAAATAAAGACAATAAATTAATTCATTTACAACATAAGACTTTTGATATGACAAAAGACAATTGTATGTGCTCGTATACTACAAAAATAAATAATGCGACTATATAAGACTAATAAAAAATGTTAGCTTTATAGACAATTGTTGATTATAATATTATATATAATTGATGTGCCTATTATGTGACTGTCATTAGGGTTATGCATAGATTGGACACATAGATAGGGTGACAACAAAAGCACATTTGAAATACCTTTAGAGTCCATTTACATAAAGGTCTGTCCCCTCTTTTCCATCCTTTTCAACCGCTTGCAACTGAATTTACACATAACTTAGGGCCTAAGTCTTAGGCTAAGGTACCAAACATTTGTACATAATTTTAAATATTATAAATAATACCACTTGTGTTTTCTCTCAATTTGTTTAATCACTTTGTTATATAAATACTATTAAAATAGCAGTTCCCTTGACATGCCTATCACTATGAGAGCACTCCCTAACCCATCGCAATAATGAGTGAATGATAGACACAATTGATGCCAAATTAGGGCATATTAAGGGAACACTTGACACAAACGGCAACTAAACTATAGACATCTTATTTATAGATTTAATGTTTTATTTTGTTGATCTAATTGTGTGCAATTGTCTATTTGTGATGCCCAGCAAGGTCACAGTGCACTGCATTTGGCATGTCAACAGGGTCATAATCAAAGTTGTCGTATTCTACTCATCAATGGCTGCAAACCAGACATCAGGAATAATGTGAGTTATCATAACTTTTGGATAATGGATACACTTTATCACGTGTCCAAACTTTATGCAATTAATTTTTATATACAATACACTACTTATTATGCATTATAAAGTTACATTTTGTATTAAAATATATGGTGATGATAGTGCCAACGTATTGAATACAACTTATCTTGTAATCCAATCAATATTGTATTAATAAAGCTTTCATATGATTAAGGAAGTATTGGATGTAGTAATGTAAAAGTAATGTAGTTTTATTATATATACAGTACAATTATAATTACGGTTAAACATACTGTGTTTAATTTTAAGTTAGTAGAGTACACTTTTATATGTGATGTAAGGCTATATACTACAAAAATGATTCCCAGAGTGCTACCCATATATTATATGTATATAAGTTAATATATAGAATATGAGAATTTAATGTAAAATGTATTAAAACTTATATGCAAATTAATGTAAGTGTTTAGTTTTTATAAGTGATGGATAAGAAACAGGTATTGATTATAGACAGTACAATATATGCAGTATGTTATATAAATTATATATACTGTATTACCTTTTATGTTCACTGTACAGTATAAACAGTGAGATTAAAAATTTATGGTTTTATAGACTTAACGATTGATTTGAGGATTAGATGTTATTTTGTGATGAGGGAGAGGTTGTGATGCCATAGCATAGGTATTCATAAGGAATTGAATTCACATTTCTTGATCATATCATACATAATCATCACAACTGCTATTCAACACAATTATCCAATTGCGTTATTATAGTAATAATCTCTCTCTCTCTCTCTCTTTCTCTCTCTTTCTCTCTCTCTCTCTCTCTCAACAAAAGTTAGGACTTGATTTTGATTTGAAGCTAATTAAAATTTAACTAAATAATGAGCAAATATTTTGCATTATTTCTATTCATTTGTCATTTATATATTCATAAAGTAATTGTTCAATCAATTGAACAAAAGTTTTCAATATTTGTATTTGAATCCTTTTTAAAATATAATTAAATTATACAACATATACAGAGTTTCATATAATACTTTAAAAATCACTTATAATTCAAATGTGAAAACTATTATATATAAAAATAATAATGATGTAAATATAATTTAAATTTATAATTTAAATTATTTGCCAAAGAAAATGTTAATTTTATTAATATTTTTCACATTTTCTATATAAGAAACAAAATTTAAATCACGATCTTTCAATGCAATGGTTTTGTTGTTTTGTATCAAAAATTTATATTTTCAAACTCTTTGAATAAAACTAAAAATTATAATTATAATGTATATTCGTATTAATTTTGTGAATAATATATGTATAATTTTATGCAATTGAATGACTGCTGATTATTTGGCGGTAGGGCTATCTATTTGTTATATAAATGATTGAGTTGTTATGTTATGTATTTCTCAATTAAGACCACAGTCTCTCTCTCTCTCTCTCTCTCTCTCTCTCTCTCTCTCTCATTTCCTTCTTTCTATGTCTGACTGTGAGACAGAATATGCAAAAACACATGTCTCTGTAATATCTTATTTCTGTGAGAGAGCTCTGACTTAATATAACATTTGTATCGTTAATACAAAACAAATTGCTATCAAGAATTGGCTCCAAAAGAGTGAAAGTCCTATTCATTCATTAACTCAATCATAATGGAAACAAAACGATAGCAATGAACCACTCTTTCAACAGCTCATGAGAATTCAAATGGAGAGAGAGAGAGAGACTTTCGTTATAAAGAGAGCATTAATTTCAAGAATTCTCTGCGAAATAAATTAAGTGAAGAAAAGGCATTTTCTTATTTTAAAAGAATGCAAAATAATTTTTTTATTTTTATAAGAAAAACATTTGAATAAAAGATAATTTATGGCATAAAACTAAAATGAAAGCACTGAGTACTGAGAGTTAGGTTTGGGAAGGCTTCACACACAATGATCTACCGTAATATCTAATGTATTAGTGGTTATAAGCAATCATAATTGTACAGACTAATCTGTATTTGTGTGTTCCATATAATAATAAATATTGTGTACATTTTTTAACTTAAAATAGTGTATAATATACAAATAATATGTGACCCAAACAAATGCTAATTCATTCAAATATTATTCTCATTTTCTATATTTCTAGTTTGGAGACTCGCCTTTGCACAGGTATGTTTAATAAATGCCATTTTTTCATTATATTATTTCATTGAATATAACCAAATGAGTATTCAACATCGCTTTCTTATGATTACAGTATTATAATGCTAAACAATACTGAACAGTCATATGAAAGCAGAGTTGAATACTTATTTGGTTATATTCAAGCATATACAATATATTCTATAGTATAATAATAATATAAATATAAATATAATTTAAATATCTGTGTTTTTAAAATAAATTCAGGATTATGGATAAGCTTTTTTAATAAACTTTTAATACACGTAAGCAATAGAAAAGAACTGTTGACTGTTCCATAATCCTGTATTTATTTTAAAAACACAGATATATAAAATATTAATATAAATATATAAAATATTATTTATAAGAATATTATCGCTAGTACATTATCGCTAACATATATTATTTGAGACATAACTTTGCAATATACATTTTAAATAATATGATAATTGTTATGATGCATTTTTTTGAAAATTTTCATAACATTAATTGCATTTTAAATGATCACTAATTTCAATTAATACAACATTTTTAGTATAATATTGATATCTTATAGGTACATAATATATAATTTATAATAGTGAAATGATATACCTTATTAGTATGAAGTAGGCCTTGTTAATATTACTAAACCTCTTCTAAATATATTTTCTCTCTCTATCATAAAGTTATTAAACTTTAAACGTTGAATATATGCCTAAAAGTTTTAGTACGCATACAGCGAATAAACTATACTTACTTGTTAGATATTTATAGTAAGCTACCTGTCCATCCCAACCCCGGATAACATTTAACTTATTATTGCATAACTTTAAGGATTAAATATAGATTTATATATGCAAGAGATGTTGTCAAATGTATAAACCTTAATATATGCTGAGATTAAGACAAAAGAAAAAAGTTTATATTTGCTTTAATTCATGGGTCAGGTATGCAAGGTTTGGGAGGATTTCAGACCCTATGATATTATTTATTAAAATATAAAAATAAATTATTATTTATTTTCTTAAGACATGAGATATAAATTAGATCTGAAATATGAAAACATGATTAATATGACTATAAATTTGAATTAATGACAAAAATATCTTTAATGTATTCACTGGTCTTGTGTTACAGCGCCGCCCGTTATGGTCACGCGGGAGTCGTCCGCATATTATTAAGTGCTCTCTGTAATGTCAATGAAGTCAATAAGGTAAGACCATGCTCATTTCTGTTTTTATTAAATTAATACTTATTTATATAATACTTATTACTAATTTATATTATATGAGATCATTTATACAGAATCTGAGGCACGTTAGCAATTTTTATTTCTAATTAATAATTTCACTCAAAATATTTTGTAAATATAAATCTTTGAATATTTATGAATAATTGACTTTTGAGTCAAATTATTAATTAGATGTAAAAATAGCTGGCGTCCTTTTGGTTATGTAAACCTCATATCAAAAAGTACTGTACATTTTGCATTGTTATATCGATTTGATAGGGGCTTTCTGATTTTATTTCCAACCCCCTGCCCCGGTCCCTATTTTTACACTAGTAAAAATTTGCATATAAACCATACGCTCATGTGTACATACTATACATGAACAGAATATTCAGTATATTTGACTTCAATTTATTGTCTCACAATACTTGCATGCCTCACAACATACCTGTGCGCTCATACATTTAGCAATACTCTATCGAAGTTTGACCGATAGGTTAATTGCGATGTCGTGTGAAGAGAGAAGTCACTTGTTATTCAGCTAACATTATAAGTTTTCGGCTTTTATAACGTGATAACAAAATATAATTCATATTTCTATATATTTTTACATTTGTCTTTAATTTCATAATACATAATTTTAAATCTAATCCGTATTATTAATAGATTACCTATTTTGGCTATTCTTTATTAATAAAAAAAATTTAAAATATCATTAAAATACTTTTTAAAATAAGTAAAACCATGAGAGAGAGAGAGAGAGAGAGAGAGATAGAGAGAGAGAGAGAGAGAGAGATTATAAAGTGAGCATAAAATATGTGTTCATTAAAAAGTATATTTTGATAATATAGAAAACTTATCATTAATATGAATGAAAATAGATTTAAATTGAATAATTTTATTCTAATTAAAATATGATAATAACCGATATTCAAAGAACATTCACTTAACGTTTGAGATTATAATTGAGGTGTTGGACATACATTTGCATTTATAATATACGGGAAGTAAATGAGATGGAAAGTTATGTATGAAATGGATGAGGATAACTCCAATAATTACTGTATCTCTATATGAGCCTTAAAGAACCAGATAGACGCTAGCTATTTTTTATATATAAATAATTAGTAATATTTTACTTGTACTCTGATAAGTTATAGTTACAATCTTACTGTAAACCTATGAATATTTTATGAA